GATGTTGGTGATGATAGTGATGTTGGTGATGATAGTGATGTTGGTGATGATAGTGATGCTGTTGTTGATGATGTTGTTGTTGATGATGATGTTATTGATGATGTTGATGCTGATGATGTTGATGTTGATGATGATGTTTATGATGATGATGTTGTTGTTGATGATGTTGATGTTGTTGATGATGTTGATGATGCTGTTGTTGATGATGTTAATGATGTTAATGATGTTGTTGTTGTTGATGATATTGGTGATGTTGATGTTGTTGATGATATTGATGCTGATGATGTTGATTATGTTGTTGATGTTGATGATATTGATGATGATGTTATTGATGATGTTGTTGATAATATTGATGATGATGTTGATGATGTTGTTGATGATGTTGTTGATGATGATGATATTGATGATGTTGATGATATTGATGATGATGTTGATGATGTTGTTGATGTTGATGATATTGATGATGATGTTGATGATGTTGATGATATTGATGATGATGTTGATGATGATATTGATGATATTGATGATGTTGTTGATGTTGATGATGTTGTTGATGTTGATGATATTGATGATGATGTTGATGATGATGATATTGATGATGTTGATGATGTTGACGCTGATGATGTTGATGATGTTGTTGATGATGTTGTTGTTTATGATGTTGTTGATGTTGATGATGATGTTGTTGATGATGTTGATGTTGATGTAGGTACCCATCGTCCCACTTTGGCTCGCTGACTGGGATGCAGTCGCTGGTGAGTGCTGTGTTTGCTCTGGTACAACAGCCTCTCTACATCGCCATGATGGGTCCACTCAACGGAGATCCTCTCTGGGTAAGGGGCGAGGGGGGAGTGGTGATCACTCACCCAGTCACTCGCTCAGACACTCAGACACTCGCTCAGACACTCGCTCAGTCACTCAGACACTCACTCAGTCACTCAGACACTCACTCACCCACTCACTCACCCACTCACTCACTCAGTCACTCAGCCACTCACTCAGTCACTCAGTCACTCACTCAGTCACTCGCTCAGTCACTCAGTCACTCAGTCAGTCACTCACTCAGTCACTCACTCAGTCACTCACTCAGTCACTCGCTCAGTCACTCAGTCACTCGCTCAATCACTCACACAGACACTCGCTGAGCCACTCAGTCACTCGCTCAGTCACTCATTCAGTCACTCAGACACTCTCTCAGTCACTCAGTCACTCAGTCACTCACTCAGTCACTCACTCAGTCACTCAGTCACTCAGCCACCCAGACACTCGCTCAGTCACTCAGACACTCGCTCAGTCACTCAGCCACTCACTCAGTCACTCAGTCACTCACTCAGTCACTCGCTCAGTCACTCAGTCACTCGCTCAATCACTCACTCAGACACTCGCTCAGCCACTCAGTCACTCGCTCAGTCACTCATTCAGTCACTCAGACACTCTCTCAGTCACTCAGTCACTCACTCAGTCACTCACTCAGTCACTCGCTCAGTCACTCAGTCACTCACTCAGTCACTCACTCAGTCACTCACTCAGTCACTCAGTCACTCACTCAGTCACTCACTCAGTCACTCGCTCAGTCACTCAGTCACTCAGTCACTCACTCAGTCACTCGCTCAGTCACTCACTCAGTCACTCAGCCACCCAGACACTCGCTCAGTCACTCAGACACTCGCTCAGTCACTCAGCCACTCACTCAGTCACTCAGTCACTCGCTCAGTCACTCAGACACTCGCTCAGCCACTCAGTCACTCACTCAGTCACTCGCTCAGTCACTCGCTCAGTCACTCAGCCACTCAGTCACTCACTCAGTCACTCAGTCACTCACTTAGTCACTCACTCACTCAGTCACTCGCTCAGTCACTCACTCAGTCACTCAGTCAGTCACTCAGACACTCAGTCACTCACTCACTCAGCCACTCAGTCAGTCACTCACTCACTCACTCAGTCACTCACTCAGTCACTCACTCAGCCACTCACTCGCTCAGTCACTCACTCACTCAGTCACTCACTCAGTCAGTCACTCAGTCACTCACTCACTCAGTCACTCACTCAGTCACTCACTCAGTCACTCGCTCACCCACTCACTCACTCAGCCACTCACTCACTCACTCACCCACTCACTCACTCAGCCACTCACTCACCCACTCACTCACTCAGCCAATCACTCATTCAGCCACTCACTCAGCCACTCACTCACTCACCCACTCACTCACTCAGCCACTCACTCACTCACCCACTCACTCACTCACCCACTCACTCACTCAGTCACTCACTCAGTCACTCAGCCACTCACTCACTCACCCACTCACTCACTCAGCCACTCACTCACTCTCCCACTCACTCAGTCAGTCACTCAGTCACTCGCTCCGTCACTCAGTCACTCACTCAGTCACTCAGTCACTCGCTCAGTCACTCAGTCACTCACTCAGCCACTCACTCACTCACCCACTCACTCACCACTCACTCAGCCACTCACTCACTCACTCAGCCACTCACTCACCCACTCACTCACACACTCACTCACTCACCACGCACTCAGTCACTCACTCACTCACCCACTCACTCACCACTCACTCAGCCACTCACTCACTCACCCACTCACTCACTCAGCCACTCACTCACCCACCCACTCACTCAGCCACTCACTCACTCAGCCACTCACACACTCAGCCACTCACTCACCCACTCACTAACTCACCCACTCATTCACTCTCCCACTCACTCACTCAGCCACTCACTCACTCACCCACTCACTCACCCACCCACTCACTCTCCCACTCACTCACTCACTCACCCACCCACTCACTCACTCACTCACCCACTCACTCACACTCACTCACTCACCCACTCACTCATCCACTCACCCACTCACTCACCCACTCACTCACCCACTCACCCACTCACTCACTCAGCCACTCACTCACTCACCCACTCACCCACCCACTCACTCACTCACTCACCCACTCACTCACTCACCCACTCACTTACTCACCCACTCACTCTCCCACTCACCCACTCACCCACTCACCCACCCACCCACTCACCCACTCACCCACCCACTCACTCAGCCACTCACTCACTCACTCACCCACTCACTCACTCACCCACCCACTCACTCACTCACCCACTCACTCACCCACTCACTCACTTACTCACCCACTCACTCACTCACCCACTCACTCACCCACTCACTCACTCAGCCACTCACTCACTCACTCAGTCACTCGCTCAGTCACTCAGACACTCGCTCAGTCACCCACCCACTCACCCACTCACCCACCCACTCACTCAGCCACTCACCCACTCACCCACTCACTCACTCACCCACTCACTCACTCACCCACCCACCCACTCACCCACCCACTCACCCACTCACTCACCCACTCACCCACTCACTCACTCACCCACTCACTCACCCACTCACCCACCCACTCACTCACCCACTCACTCACCCACTCACTCACCCACTCACTCACCCACTCACCCACTCACTCACCCACTCACTCACCCACTCACCCACCCACTCACTCACCCACTCACTCACCCACTCACTCACCCACTCACTCACCCACTCACTCACTCACTCACCCACTCACTCACCCACTCACTCACCCACCCACTCACCCACTCACCCACTCACTCACCCACTCACCCACTCACTCACTCACCCACTCACTCACCCACTCACCCACTCACTCACCCACTCACCCACTCACTCACTCACTCACCCACTCACTCACTCACCCACTCACTCACTCACCCACTCACTCACCCACTCACTCACCCACTCACCCACTCACTCACCCACTCACTCACCCACTCACCCACCCACTCACTCACCCACTCACTCACCCACTCACCCACTCACTCACTCACTCACCCACTCACTCACCCACTCACTCACCCACCCACTCACTCACTCACCCACTCACCCACTCACTCACTCACCCACTCACTCACCCACTCACCCACTCACCCACTCACTCACTCACTCACCCACTCACTCACTCACCCACTCACTCACTCACCCACTCACTCACTCACTCACCCACTCACTCACTCACCCACTCACTCACTCACCCACCCACTCACTCACCCACTCACTCACCCACCCACTCACCCACTCACTCACTCACCCACTCACCCACTCACTCACCCACTCACTCACCCACTCACTCACCCACTCACTCACCCACTCACTCACTCACTCACCCACTCACTCACCCACTCACTCACCCACCCACTCACCCACTCACCCACTCACTCACCCACTCACCCACTCACTCACTCACCCACTCACTCACCCACTCACCCACTCACTCACCCACTCACCCACTCACTCACTCACTCACCCACTCACTCACTCACCCACTCACTCACTCACCCACTCACTCACCCACTCACTCACCCACTCACCCACTCACTCACCCACTCACTCACCCACTCACCCACCCACTCACTCACCCACTCACTCACCCACTCACTCACCCACCCACTCACTCACTCTCACACCCACCCACCCACTCACCCACTCACTCTCCCACTCACTCACTGGAGGCCCAGCGTGCCTTCAGCAATTGATCAACCCCTCCCCCCCTCCCCCCCCCACCCCCCCACCCCACCCCCTCCCCCCCCCCCCCCCAGGTGAACGTGTCCCTGCTGGCTCTCTCCCTGCTGGGCTTCGGCCTCCCCCTCTACCTCCACCTCTACCGCCGCCGCCTGCTGGCGGAGCGGGCGGCCCGCCGGGCGGCCCCTCCCCTCGCCCCCCCCAAGCCCCCCCCGCTGCTCCGCAGCTCGAGCAGCAACGGCCTCATCGTGATCCCTCCTCCTGCTGCTGCTGCTGCTACACACGATGATGACGATGATGATGATGACGATGACGATGATGACGCCTTCAGCAACACGTGGCCTCAGCAAGCACACAGCAACGTCTGAGGCTCACGCCCCGCCCACCCACCACGTCGCCCCGCCCACATCGCCCCGCCCACATCGCCCCGCCCCGCCCCAACCACATCGCCCCGCCCACCACATCGCCCCGCCCCGCCCACCCGCATCGCCCCGCCCACCCGCATCGCCCCGCCCCGCCCACCCACATCGCCCCGCCCACCCACATCGCCCCGCCCCACCCGCCACATTGCCCCGCCCACCCACCGCATTGCCCCGCCCACCCACCACATCGCCCCGCCCACCCACCACATCGCCCCCGGCCCTCCCCCTAAGTCTCTCACCCCCCCCCCCCCCAATTCTCTCCCCCACTCCGGTTTCCCTGAGTCCCAGACTGAGTGAGTCCCAGACTGAGTGAGTCCCAGACTGCCAGAGTACTGAGACCCAGACTGAGTGAGTCCCAGACTGCCGTGAGTGAGACCCAGGCTGAGTGAGTCTCAGACTGAGTGAGTCCCAGACTGAGTGAGTCCCAGGCTGAGTGAGTCTCAGGCTGAGTGAGTCTCAGGCTGAGTGAGTCTCAGACTGAGTGAGTCCCAGACTGAGTGAGTCCCAGACTGAGTGAGTCTCAGGCTGAGTGAGTCTCAGACTGAGTGAGTCTCAGACTGAGTGAGTCCCAGACTGAGTGAGTCTCAGACTGAGTGAGTCCCAGACTGAGTGAGTCCCAGACTGAGTGAGTCTCAGACTGAGTGAGTCCCAGACTGAGTGAGTCCCAGACTGAGTGAGTCTCAGGCTGAGTGAGTCTCAGACTGAGTGAGTCTCAGACTGAGTGAGTCCCAGACTGAGTGAGTCCCAGACTGCCGTGAGTGAGTCCCAGGCTGAGTGAGTCTCAGACTGCCTGAGACCCAGGCTGAGTGAGTCCCAAACTGAGTGAGTCCCAGACTGAGTGAGTGAGTCTCAGACTGAGTGAGTCCCAGACTGAGTGAGTCCCAAACTGAGTGAGTCCCAAACTGAGTGAGACCCAGACTGAGTGAGTGAGTCTCAGACTGAGTGAGTCTCAGACTGAGTGAGTCTCAGACTGAGTGAGTCCCAGACTGAGTGAGTCCCAAACTGAGTGAGACCCAGACTGAGTGAGTCCCAGACTGAGTGAGACCCAGGCTGAGTGAGTCCCAAACTGAGTGAGTCTCAGACTGAGTGAGACCCAGACTGCCTGAGTGAGTCCCAGCCTGAGTGAGTCCCAGCCTGAGTGAGTCCCAGACTGCCTGAGTGAGTCCCAGCCTGAGTGAGTCCCAGCCTGAGTGAGTCCCAGACTGAGTGAGACCCAGCCTGAGTGAGTCCCAGCCTGAGTGAGTCCCAGACTGAGTGAGTCCCAGCCTGAGTGAGTCTCAGACTGAGTGAGTCCCAGGCTGAGTGAGTCCCAGACTGAGTGAGTCCCAGACTGCCTGAGTGAGTCTCAGACTGAGTGAGTCTCAGACTGCCTGAGTGAGTCCCAGACTGAGTGAGTCCCAGACTGAGTGAGTCCCAGACTGAGTGAGACCCAGACTGAGTGAGTCCCAGACTGAGTGAGTCCCAAACTGAGTGAGACCCAGACTGAGTGAGTCCCAGACTGAGTGAGTCCCAGGCTGAGTGAGTCCCAGACTGAGTGAGTCCCAGACTGAGTGAGTCCCAGACTGAGTGAGTCCCAGACTGAGTGAGTCCCAGGCTGAGTGAGTCCCAGACTGAGTGAGTCCCAGACTGAGTGAGTCCCAGACTGCCTGAGTGAGACCCAGCCTGAGTGAGTCCCAGACTGAGTGAGTCCCAGGCTGAGTGAGTCCCAGGCTGCCTGAGTGAGTCCCAGACTGCCTGAGTGAGACCCAGACTGAGTGAGTCCCAGACTGAGTGAGACCCAGCCTGAGTGAGTCCCAGGCTGAGTGAGTCCCAGGCTGAGTGAGTCCCAGACTGAGTGAGTCCCAGACTGCCTGAGTGAGACCCAGCCTGAGTGAGTCCCAGACTGAGTGAGTCCCAGGCTGAGTGAGTCCCAGACTGAGTGAGACCCAGACTGAGTGAGTCCCAGACTGAGTGAGTCCCAGACTGAGTGAGTCCCAGACTGAGTGAGTCCCAGACTGAGTGAGACCCAGGCTGAGTGAGTCCCAGGCTGAGTGAGTCCCAGACAGCCTGAGTGAGTCTCAGACTGAGTGAGTCTCAGACTGAGTGAGACCCAGACTGAGTGAGTCCCAGGCTGAGTGAGTCCCAGCCTGAGTGAGTCCCAGGCTGAGTGAGTCCCAGACTGAGTGAGTCCCAGGCTGAGTGAGTCCCAGGCTGAGTGAGTCCCAGGCTGAGTGAGTCTCAGACTGAGTGAGTCTCAGACTGAGTGAGTCCCAGACTGAGTGAGTCCCAGACTGCCGTGAGTGAGTCCCAGGCTGAGTGAGTCTCAGACTGCCTGAGACCCAGGCTGAGTGAGTCCCAAACTGAGTGAGTCCCAGACTGAGTGAGTGAGTCTCAGACTGAGTGAGTCCCAGACTGAGTGAGTCCCAGACTGAGTGAGTCCCAGACTGAGTGAGTGAGTCTCAGACTGAGTGAGTCCCAAACTGAGTGAGACCCAGACTGAGTGAGTCCCAGACTGAGTGAGTCCCAGACTGAGTGAGACCCAGACTGAGTGAGTCTCAGACTGCCTGAGACCCAGGCTGAGTGAGTCCCAAACTGAGTGAGTCTCAGACTGAGTGAGTCCCAGCCTGAGTGAGTCCCAGCCTGAGTGAGTCCCAGACTGAGTGAGACCCAGCCTGAGTGAGTCCCAGCCTGAGTGAGTCCCAGACTGAGTGAGTCCCAGGCTGAGTGAGACCCAGACTGAGTGAGTCCCAGACTGAGTGAGTCCCAGGCTGAGTGAGACCCAGACTGAGTGAGTCCCAGCCTGAGTGAGTCCCAGACTGAGTGAGTCCCAGACTGCCTGAGTGAGTCTCAGACTGAGTGAGTCCCAGGCTGAGTGAGTCCCAGACTGCCTGAGTGAGTCCCAGACTGCCTGAGTGAGTCTCAGACTGAGTGAGTCTCAGACTGCCTGAGTGAGTCCCAGACTGAGTGAGTCCCAGACTGAGTGAGTCCCAGACTGAGTGAGACCCAGACTGAGTGAGTCCCAGACTGAGTGAGTCCCAAACTGAGTGAGACCCAGACTGAGTGAGTCCCAGACTGAGTGAGTCCCAGACTGAGTGAGACCCAGACTGAGTGAGTCCCAGACTGAGTGAGTCCCAGGCTGAGTGAGTCCCAGACTGAGTGAGTCCCAGACTGAGTGAGTCCCAGACTGAGTGAGACCCAGACTGAGTGAGTCCCAGACTGAGTGAGTCCCAGACTGAGTGAGTCCCAGCCTGAGTGAGTCCCAGGCTGAGTGAGTCCCAGACTGAGTGAGTCCCAGACTGAGTGAGTCCCAGACTGCCTGAGTGAGACCCAGCCTGAGTGAGTCCCAGACTGAGTGAGTCCCAGGCTGAGTGAGTCCCAGGCTGCCTGAGTGAGTCCCAGACTGAGTGAGACCCAGACTGAGTGAGTCCCAGACTGAGTGAGACCCAGACTGAGTGAGTCCCAGACTGAGTGAGTCCCAGGCTGAGTGAGTCCCAGACTGAGTGAGTCCCAGACTGAGTGAGTCCCAGACTGCCGTGAGTGAGTCCCAGGCTGAGTGAGTCCCAGACTGAGTGAGACCCAGCCTGAGTGAGTCCCAGGCTGAGTGAGTCCCAGGCTGAGTGAGTCCCAGACTGAGTGAGTCCCAGACTGAGTGAGTCCCAGACTGCCTGAGTGAGACCCAGCCTGAGTGAGTCCCAGACTGAGTGAGTCCCAGGCTGAGTGAGTCCCAGACTGAGTGAGACCCAGACTGAGTGAGTCCCAGGCTGAGTGAGTCCCAGACTGAGTGAGACCCAGACTGAGTGAGTCCCAGGCTGAGTGAGTCCCAGACTGAGTGAGTCCCAGACTGAGTGAGTCCCAGACTGAGTGAGTCCCAGGCTGAGTGAGTCCCAGACTGAGTGAGACCCAGGCTGAGTGAGTCCCAGGCTGAGTGAGTCCCAGACAGCCTGAGTGAGTCTCAGACTGAGTGAGTCTCAGACTGAGTGAGACCCAGACTGAGTGAGACCCAGACTGAGTGAGTCCCAGACTGCCGTGAGTGAGTCCCAGCCTGAGTGAGTCCCAGGCTGAGTGAGTCCCAGACTGAGTGAGTCCCAGACTGAGTGAGACCCAGACTGAGTGAGACCCAGACTGAGTGAGTCCCAGACTGCCGTGAGTGAGTCCCAGACTGAGTGAGTCCCAGGCTGAGTGAGTCCCAGACTGAGTGAGTCCCAGACTGCCGTGAGTGAGTCCCAGGCTGAGTGAGTCCCAGACTGCCTGAGTGAGTCCCAGACTGAGTGAGACCCAGGCTGAGTGAGTCCCAAACTGAGTGAGTCCCAGCCTGAGTGAGTCTCAGACTGAGTGAGACCCAGCCTGAGTGAGTCCCAGGCTGAGTGAGTCCCAGGCTGAGTGAGTCCCAGACTGCCTGAGTGAGTCTCAGACTGAGTGAGACCCAGACTGAGTGAGTCCCAGACTGAGTGAGACCCAGACTGAGTGAGTCTCAGACTGAGTGAGTCCCAGACTGAGTGAGTCCCAAACTGAGTGAGTCCCAGACTGAGTGAGTCCCAGACTGAGTGAGTCCCAGACTGCCTGAGTGAGTCCCAGACTGAGTGAGTCCCAGGCTGAGTGAGTCCCAGACTGAGTGAGTCCCAGACTGAGTGAGACCCAGGCTGAGTGAGTCTCAGACTGAGTGAGACCCAGACTGAGTGAGTCCTAGACTGAGTGAGTGAGTCTCAGACTGAGTGAGTCTCAGACTGAGTGAGTCCCAGACTGCCGTGAGTGAGTCCCAGACTGAGTGAGTCCCAGGCTGAGTGAGTCCCAGACTGAGTGAGTCCCAGACTGCCGTGAGTGAGTCCCAGGCTGAGTGAGTCCCAGACTGCCTGAGTGAGTCCCAGACTGAGTGAGACCCAGGCTGAGTGAGTCCCAAACTGAGTGAGTCCCAGACTGAGTGAGACCCAGGCTGAGTGAGTCTCAGACTGAGTGAGACCCAGCCTGAGTGAGTCCCAGGCTGAGTGAGTCCCAGGCTGAGTGAGTCCCAGACTGCCTGAGTGAGTCTCAGACTGCC